TTTTTTCTTCCTTTTTTTTTTTCGTCTCTTTTGTTTGTGAAGGTTTCTCCCTCTCTTTCCTTCGTCTCTTTTGATTTGTGTAGGATTTGACGCCTATATAAGCACCCTTCCTTGTCAAATAAAATTCAGCTGTGTTTGAGACTTTGTGTTTGTCCGTCCCTTTTTGTCCCAGTCTCGGGGTTTTTGTCGAAATGTTTAACAATTCGACCGATACGTATTAGCCAATGCGCGACAAGGTGGGAGCAATGCAGGGTTAGGAAGGAATACTCAAAAATGTATTTAAGAATACAAATACTGGGATACATTAAAATAGTAGGTAAAATACTGATACTAAGCAATATCCGTAGAAAGTTATCGCGATGCGTATCGGAAATACAATTTAAATAGAGGCAAAAAGTGTCTGGAAATACAAATACAGGAATACATTATAGGGAGGACAGAAATATAAATACAGAGATACTGATACTGCGACACATTTTTCAAATTTGTTCAAGACCCCAACTGAGATGAAACTTGAAGTTTGAAGTGGAAGTTTTTAATCCCGAAATTATTTTCCCGTATACGCTTGACACTTTGCCTTGAAGGTAGTGGTTTCGGACGACGAGGAGTCTTCAATGGCCTCAAAGAAAAAAAACGTTCCATCAAGGACTGACCGCGTTCCCTTCCCTGACATCCATTCGTGTCCAGCTCGCTTGCACCTTGCATTGATTTCATTATCATCGTGACCTTAAAATGCAGATTGTTCACCCTTCTTGGTGTTAGACTGGTGGAAGCTGATAAACCCCGTTTGCTCTATGGCGTCTGACAGAGCGCTCCACTGGAAATGGGGAGGTCCCCGGTTCGATACCTGGACCGGAGGAATTTTTTCGGTCGCGCAACAGTCACCTAGCTGATTTCGGAGATTTGTGTCTGTCCTTTGTCCCGCCTTGTTCTACTTCTCCGCGAATTATTGTCATCATTCTTGTCCAGCTTGCCTGCACCTTTGCATTATAGCATCATGAAGAATGGGACAAATATGATTTTTGAGTTCGCAGTCGGAACACTGCGTAAGTCGATGAATACTTTCACGGACTGGAGTTTCAATCATGACCTCTATAATTGCACGTCCACCTTGTTCTGTAACATTTGGTATTACTTAAAACCTCTGGATGTTTTTTTTTTATCTTATACATCTAAAAAATGCACCACTGAACGAGGCGCGTATATATTTACTTGAGAATACTGCCGGCCAACTTTTGAGGGCCAAGGCATAATAAGACAACATCACAAACAATCAATGAGTCGAATAAACACAACAACAACAATTAACAAGTAGGTTAGTCATTGGTGACAAAAAAAGGTTCATCAACTGCACTTGCAAATAAAGCGGTAGAAGCAATCGCCAACACATTTTGAGGCAACTCATTCCACTCATAAACAGAACGAGAAAAAAATTAGTATTTAAAAAACATCTTTTTTTACAACGAAATTATCGTTCATATTTTGGAAGAAATGGGTGTGAATCTTTGAAAACGTCGATCAATTTGCCGTGTTTTTTCCTTCAAAACTTGTTCATGGCACGGCTCGCGCGTTTGCACAACACTGATTATTTGTACTCATAAAAAGCACGAAGCGTGAGGCTTAACACGAGCCTTTAAAGGGACACTGAAAGGAAATTTATGCTCGCAAAGGTTTTTATCTGTGCATGACGAATGAGACCCCAACAACCCAGAACACAGTTTGCGGCGCGAAATTTGTTTTCTTTCTTCCCGAAAACCGCCGATTGAGAACTGACCGGTTTGAGTCTCGCGCATTCTCTTCTCCGTGGTCACGTGCCGTATTCTGTGGCGTAAACACCACCACCAAATATAATCAGAGTCGTAAGTCATCGAAGGCACAACTATATTTTAAAAATGGAAAATGAACTATAGTACCTATTTGTAGGGACTTCATAAAAAAATATAAATACGTTAATTGAAAAAAAAAGGTTGCACTGTCACGTGATTTCCGGTAACGCTCGCCTGCTCTATATTTCTTCTTCCTGCCAAGTCCAGTTACGGTTTCGAGCAGTTGCGTTTTTTTTTTACTTTATTATAAATATGCGTTACGCTGTAGCAAAATATAGACTGGCTATTCTTCCGACTCCATTTAAATCGCCGGGCAAAAAATTAAAATATTTTCGTGGGTGTCTGTGTCTCCTTATTGGTATCACGTTCCAAATCCTCAGTCTAGGGTGGCTTAAAGGGGCCAAGCAACGTTTTTTGTACTTTGCACAAATACCGCTTCGAACGGATCCCTGACGTTAATGACATGTGAGAGAGTCGTTCGCTTTTCACCACACGCAATCGAAGTCCCAGAAAAAAATCAAAGAAAAACGAGCAGCGTTCACCCCCTCAACTCGCAGGAAGAACAAGTGGCCACGTGATCTGGAGCCGATTATATGCCGCCAATTTGGATCATAGCCACGCGCTGGGGTTGGCAAGGCACAGGACACGCGCTGAGTTCCAGACATTGTTATGGTTCGGCTATTGTCGTCATTGCAGCGATTGGACACGTGCCACTACGCAAATGCTTCTCGAGCTATTGATTATACCGAACCCTAATCAAGTGCTCAGGCAAATGCTCGGGTTCAATCTATGAGCCGCATTCAAATATTGTCACGATCCCCCAGCTGCGATCCCCCAGCTACGTCATCAAGTTTTGCGCATGAGAGATTGAAAGAAAACGCTAGCTTTTGTCTTTGAAGTTACACAGCAACAAAACAGTTTCTGGGCCAGTGGCGTTGCGTTCGACTATCCTTGAGTCCCATTAGTGCCAGTCAGCTCGTGTAAAGTGAAAAACGTTCCAATTGAATATCGTTGCACCGCCCCTTTAATATGTGCGCACCCTATTCATGCCGATGTCACAACGATCCATTTGGGAATAAGGTTGGACGAAGTATCAATAATTATTGAGAGCAAACTTATGCCTGTGCTCAATATACGGTAATAAGAATTGACCCATCAGAGAGCATAGCACAGGGCGTATGCAGTTACTCTAGCATGACACTACGACCTATACCTTTTTTCACCTCAAGAAAAAAGGAAGTTTTGTGCATTGTTCATACGCCGCGCGAAGAACTCCTTAAAATATTTGGTTGTCGACAAAAAAAAAACAATTTTCCCGTTTGAAACGTGTTCGTCTGGATAGCATAACCTATATGTAATCTAAAATGCACCTACACGTATCTGAATTATCTTTATGAAGAGGGAAATTGGTAATGACTCGTGAGGAGCGGGACTCTTATTATTACAATTTTTCAGGTGAAAACGAGTATAAAAAAAGAAAATTCTGTGCACCCCCCCCCCCCCCTCCCCCGGTGGACGCCATCACTAGTGGATCCATCGGGCGCTGCCTACCTGGCGTCAGCATCGCAACCAACGCGACTCGCAGCGCCTCACAACAAGCGCGACGCTAGCACATGGCGTCGCCAAGACGGACGCGTCTGCCACTTTGCGGCGACTCCCGATGAGCTTTAGCCTGATTGCCACTTTTGGCGGGTCGGGATCCACTGGAGATGACGTCATGCGCAGGCCTTGTCTTCTATGTAGTACTATTGGGCAAGGTCACGCGCTCCGCTGCTCTGTTTTGTTTCGTTGAGCACCGTGCACAATAGACCAATCTCACCAGCCAGTTTGACTATACCACCGCTGCCACAATATATCTAGGGAACTTTAGTCTTCCTGCACGTGCGACAACCTCGCTGGAGCTCTGCGCGTGTAGAGCACGACATGGCACAAGTCCTCTCGTGCACTGCCGTCTGCCTTTTGTGAACTAAAGTTGGCGGCGTCACGCATGCGCCGAACGCTTAGTGAGATCGGTTTAATCCGCACAGGCCGTGATAGAGTTCATTGTTGTTTGGGCAGGTTATTTGCTATGCGGAGAGAAAGTCGTCTGCTTAGTACACTAGTTTCGGTGACGTCAGAACGACGCCGAGCTCTGATTGGCTTTGATTGAAAGGATAGAGGGTAGACCTCAATGCTAAACACCTTGGGGTCCAGCCATCATTTTTTTTTTTTTCAATCAGCCAAAAAGAGCTCGGCTTTCTGATGTCATCACAACCCCTTCAAAGAAGGAGACGAACTTGCGCTCAGCAGAGCTTTATTTAGGCTAAAACGGTTAGGTTGAAAGTTTTGCATATATAGAGGAAGATTTTGTTTTATGACTTGTGCTTTGAATAATGATGGAATGCCCTCCATGAGGCGCCTTCGGCTACTTTCGCGGCTGGGAGGTCCGTTGGCCCGCAACAGGAATGTTTGACTTCCTATCCGCCTTCTGGGCAAAATCAACGAAGATCTGCTCCAATGTGCTATCTGACACGAAGGCATGCGCAAACTTAAATCTTTGTTCAAATGCCTCGATTCTGGTGAAAAGTTCGCTCCACGCGAGCTTGTCCGTCATGTGGAAGTTGAGGGTACCCTGCGAACGAAAAGTGGAAAGCAAAAAGGGTGCTGGCACCCATTTGAGCGTAACAGCCTTCTAAAATTATTTCAGTGGAAATTCGCATTGTATAAACGTCCTGCTTGCGGCAACGGTGGCAAAGATATGTATGGAAGATACCCAACGGCATATTCAAGGTATTTTGTTTGAGAGAGTGAGAAACTAGTATGGAGACTTTTTTGAATAGAAACGTTTAAGCACTTGCAGATGGAGTGTAATTTTGTGTAATCACTTCCAAAGTGAGAACGACAGCTTCAGTTGTCCCACCTCCAGCCTGAGCGTCTTATCAACTTTGGTCCTACCTTCGACAATGCTTCGGCGTTTCGTGCACCTCGAACGCGAGTGTGCAGCCCAAGCAGAGCGGAAGGCATGGAGCGATTGCTGAAGGCCGGGCGTTCGAAAGACACGCCCTGCCGTTATCATCTTGTCAGCGACTGTAGTTGGCCGTAGCCTCATGAACTGTCAATTGACAATGCGGCGATACTGAGAGGCGCTCTCGTTTTGGAGTTCCGAAGTCATCGGTAGTCATGCAATCTGCTCACCTCGCGTTGGTCCCTCAGTCGTATGCCAGGGAAGGCTTCTTCGACGGCAGACTTGACGGCGGCCGGGTCCGTTCCTTGGCCGTCCTTGAGGGAGATCATGAGCGTGTAGCCTCTGCCAAACTTCTCTTTGAGGTGTTGTAGCGTTCCCAGACACTGCAGCTGGCCGTCCACCATAATGCCGATTCGATCGCAAGCCAGCTCGCACTCGTCCATGCTGATAAGGGTTTAAAAATGCATGAGCGAGGAAAAAAATGAACGAATGGTTCTCTTCTATTTAAAAATTGCTACAACTTTCTATATCAAATTTTAAAATGTGGTACTATACTTTATTCCATCACAAGTCAGCACGTAGTTGAAGTATCGAACATGTACAGGGTACGACACCTTATGAGTCGGCATAACAACGTTCCAACAAATGCGGAAAAAAAAAAAAAGACTGATTCTGTGCTCGGTTGTCTTCAATAAAGGTCTTAGACTTTTAAACCATTGAACCGTTCGATTACATGAAAAAAAAACACTCTCCAGACCTTCTTGTGCGTGCGTGCGTGTGTGTGTGTGTGTGTGGGTGCGTTTGTGTGTGCTCGCGCGCGTGGGCATATGTGTGTGCGCGCGCGCGCGTGTGTGTGCGTGTGTGTGTGTGCGTGTGTGTTCGTTGTCAAGTTGTCAAGAGGCACGCCAAAGCTGAACTGTAGTCGGTTTAAAAAACATAAACAAAGGAAACAAGAACCATTTTTTTAACAGCCTTGTGAAAGAGAATGTCGCAAAATAAATTTACAACGAAAAATCTTTAAAGCCATTGTTAGGCGCGAAACGAATTTCAAGTTGGCGCTCGCGGGTGCCCTCGGAAAAGTGGCCGCTATCGTCACGTGACGGTTCGCTGTGGTCACGTGGTGCTTGCGCTCTTTCGAGAGCTTGATAGGGAGTCTAAAAGTTACTTATTAAACTTCGTTTTAAGTGCATAAAAAAAACAGACATTAACAACAAGATTAATAAGTTACGTTTAGTCCATAGACTTCTTGCAAATCGACGTCACTCCCGGTTAGACTCGAAATCGAAGCCAACATTGTCTTTTGCTATCAGCGCCTCGGCGCAATGTTGGAAGCATTCGGCGTCTTAGTGCGCCAGGAGTAGTGCAGTAGCATCATTGAGCCATATTTGTATAACCATATTTCAGAATATTTTATTTTCCTAGTCATTCGCTAAGAGTTTTCTCACCTTACACGAAGGGCAGTCCACAAATCCTTAGTTGGGGTACGAAGGTTTTCTGTTTATATTATAGAGTTAATATAATGGTCTAGAACGAAAGATCCCATACATTTGGCCGCTTCGGAAAGGCGGGGCATAGACGCGGACATCGGCAGTACCACTTAGCGGTCCCGATAAGCTCAAACGGCTGGCGCCATCTTAATATGCACAAAGCTGCAGCAAAACATCACCTGAAAGGTCTGTACCTTGTTATTTTCTCTCTTACTTTGCAGAAAAACACCCGAATCGGGCACTGATAAAATTAAAAAAAGTTGACAAGCGCTTAAGCAACTTCAACTCAGTAGCGTATCAACTTGCTTTTGAGTGTGAGCGGGGGAGGGGGGCAGGAAAACCGGACCCCCCCCCCCCCCCGCCCCCCAGACGTGGGGGGCCCTTCACGCCAAAGCTACTCTTAGTGATACGGGTTAAGAATAATTTATATAAAAAAATTCTAGGAACAAAAATGATTAGCAAGCTTGAAACCTTTAAATAATAGTACCGCAACAAACTGAGAAGTATATTAAGAAATGCTAAGCGTGACTACTACATAATCGTTTCGATCGAAGAAACCTGACGTTATGTGGAAGAGGGTATACGATCAGTGCTGAATAATAAGCCACTTCAAAACGTGCTCCATGAAATAAGCATAAACACCGTTAAAGTAACAGAGGTGAACATGGCAAATGCGTTCAATAATGTCTTTGTAAATGTCGGTACCTCTGGTGCGTCATCGTCCTGTGTAAACAAAGCTCTAGAGGGTGATTCCACGTCATTTCATGCAATGATGGTCCGGGTCATAATTTAAATCATTTTGTTAAAAATATATATGAAATCCATGTTCTTGGGAGAAACATTCAGCTGTATATGAACGCCGTAACATTTTTTTTTTATCGCTAAGATAAAAAATACAGAAGCTCGAGGCGTGGAAATTGAGAAGATTTCACGATGCTACTTTGCACGGTCATCATTTTTTCATCGCAGATTTCACGTCACTATAACTTTTTAATACATTTTACAAGACACACAATACATACACAAAAAATTTAAAATATCAATAAAAGTTTTTATATAAACAAAAAATCAAACATGACATAAAAGAGACATATTCACAATATTTTTTTTGCAAATAAACCATCTTTTATAAGACTTCACAAAACATATCAAAATGCGCATCCTTAAATATTCTTTACGCATATGTAAAAATTATGTGGCCACCCTTAATTGTCTTTTTGTTATTAACGCGGAAATGCAGTTGATTTTTCCAAATGTGACAAGATTGGGCGTGGATATTTAGAAAAACTCCATCTTTTATTTAATTTTTTAAGCTTCACTTGGCACTTTGCAGTGATTTGAACTAACCTGTGATGGTAAAACATTGAGTAACATATGACCTCCGAACTGGAAAAGCTACGACAAACCTTCACTCGGAGCGAGCGGACGTCTTCGTCACAGCGGCTTTGCCGCACAGCACCAAAAATTTTAAGTGTTAGTTACGGCATGTATATTATATTTTTCAAATTCTTTTTTTCAAGAGGGGTAAGTATAAATGACAGAAAAAAGGGACTTTGAGCTGGAATACCATTAATTACCTTACAATTCACGAAAACGAAACGGCACCACTCTCCAAATTCGCAATCTATGCATACATAAGCTTAAAACTCTCAGTTGCGATAGTGGCCATGTTTTTCCAACCACACTCAACGAAGTGCGGTAGGAAAAGCTACTGGCTCCACGAAGAATGAACGGATCTTACCTTTTATGCCTACATTGCTAAAAATACCTAAAGAATGAGATGGCTTCTTTTCACAACGTGAGTACATCAAACTCTTCTTTTTGGGACTCTGATGAAATTCTGGCTGAAATGAGTCAAGACTTGTGTGCTGAAACCACCTTTTGAAACCACGAAGAACCATAAAAAAAAAAGGCGCGAAGCGTATTTGAAGAAAAAACAAGCTCAAGTGAGTTCTTCGATTAGAAGAAAGCTGTCAAGCGTTTATGACGTGAAAACCGGCGGAGACAGTTGTGAGCACTGCATGGAGTGGTTTGACGCGTTCCGCGAAGCGCTGAAGGGATGCAGTTTTCGCTAGGAACGCAAGCGATTGTACACGCTTCTGTTACCGAGCATCTCGAAGAAAGAAATATCGCGTCTGGTGCCGGAAGCGACTGCCAACAGAATTGATCAAACAAGAAAACTGAAGCGTAAAGGAAGTGCATGGGCAACCCCTGAACCCCACATGGGGAAAAAGGGTACGGGAAAGAGGCGAATGCCGGAGACGTGAGGGTTGCACTTGAGTACAACGCACGCGACGACCTCTTATGCTCTGTTCAAAGTCCCACCAAAAAGGACGTCGTCAAAGCCATAATCAACGATAAGACCAAAGTCGTGAAAAGGTTTATGACCCTGTCTATTAAGGAAGCTAGCTGTTTAGAAAGGACCATCTCTATCGAGAACTAGGCATCTCCAAATTTTGTTCCCTACAACCAAAACGGGTAAAAAAGAGTCCCAAGCACGAGGTGTCCGCGTGCACTTGTTCAGTCAATTTTCAGTTGCTTTTAACGGCAATAACAAATGCCCCAAGGAAGACATCTACTGAAGACGACCTTAAGCGCATCTACATCTGCAGCGCTCCAAGTCAGTGCAAAGTGCCAAGGGTAGTTTAAAAAAAATAAAAGTTTTTTTTTTTTCAAGTATCGATGCCCAATTTTGCCATATCTTGAGAAATTAGCTGCATTTCCGCGTTAACAACAAAAAGAAAATTGAGGCTGGCCATATTAACTTAATATATTCGTAAATAATATTTAAAGGCGCGCTTTTTGATATGTTTTGTGAAGTATTATAAAAGACGGTTTAGTTGCACAAAGCAATTTTGAATATGCCTCTAAAACGCGTTTTTATGCCATGTTTGATAATTTTGTTTACATAAAAATTATTTTATTGATATTTCAAATTTTTTTGTGTATGTGTTGTATATCTTCTGTAAGTTGTATTAAAAAGTTATGATGACGTGAATGCTTCGATGAGAAAATGACGACTGTGGAAAATAGCACCGTGAAAACTTCTCAATTTCCACGCCTCGAGCTTCTCTATTTTATACCTCAGCGAAAAAGATTGTTACGATGTTCATATATAGCTGAATGTTCCTCCCAAGAACATGGCTTTCGTATATATTTTGAAAAAAAATATAAAAAAGGGACTGGGGCCATTATTGCGCGCACTGGCGTAGAATCACCCTAGAGTTCATGCCAGTATCGCATACAAAATCAATGTTCTTGTTCTTCACGGATGAGTCGGAAGTCTACTCAACCGTCAAATCTTAAAAATAGCAGTAGCATTGACGCCGATAACATGTAGATAAAACATATAAAATACGTCATTGATATTATTGCACCATATTTGACATATATATATAACCTCGCATTTGAGACTTGCTGTTTTCCACTGAAGATGAATGTATCAAGAATTAGTGTTCTACATGAAGGCGATGATGGACTTGACACAAATAACTATAGGCCCATGTCAATCCTTTGTCTTTTCTAAATAACTTGAGAAACTAATACACTATAATCTCGTAACATATCTTGATAAGCATTCTTTAAATTCTGATGCGCAATTTGGTTTTCGTAAACGTGGGTCTACCGAATTGACGTTTTTAAACCAGAAAGAAGAAATTGTGAAAGTTTTTGACGAAAGAAAAATTACATTAGGCATCTTTCTTTGTTACTCAAAAGCCGTTGATTCAATCAATCACGATATTTTATTTGCCAAATTACCATTTTTTTGCAATAAGAAGCGTAGCACTCGATCTCATAAAATCATACTTAGAAAATAGAAATCAATACGTGTCTTTTCCGAATTTTCATTTGGATAGGGTTGCTAAAAAATTGGGTGTTCCCAGGGTTGCCTATTAGGAACATTGTTATTCACATCAAACAAAAACAACGTTGTGCATTTGGCCAAAAGCGGTGAT